CTGGCAAGCGCATGTGTCCTATAGCAAAAACCTCAAAAAAAAAAAAAAAAAAAAAAGAGAGAGAGTATGAGTTTCATTCTAATGGGCAGGTTATATACTCAGGAATCATACTTGGGAATCAGTTTGATTTTTATAAGCTAACTAGATGAGGTAAGATCTATGTAGCCTTACATTAGGGCTGGTTTAGCGCTGTTCCTATTTGATGGTATTTCAGGGCTCTCCAAGGTATGTCAAGAGTGTTCAGCAAGGTTTCTCCTTCATGCCAGTCAGATCTTAAACCTTCCCCAGCCTTACACGAGCTCTGAGAATTGTTGTTTACCTTAAAGCGCCCCAGCAATAGTTCTTTCCCCTCCTCAGGGACTAGAACCTTTTATATGCACATATTAATATTCTGCTAGACCTCATGGGATTCTATGATTTTTGCCATAGGGCGGGCGCCACCACGCCCCGACCTCATGAGATTCTGTATACAGATTTCTATAGGGTTTCTGTTTGTTTTTCCCGTGTGTATCTCTCTCTCTTCTTTCCAGTATTCTGCACAGTAAATCTCGGCCACCCCAGTCTTCTGAAACTCCAGTCTCTGTTCCTTCGATTATAAGACTGACTTGCTTTATTTGGGTTTCTCCTCCTTTGTCTATGGCCTACAAAGTACCCTCCAGGTAAAGCTGAGCTGATCATACCGTACTGATCAACTCACTGGAGACCTAGCAGAAGCCCAGCCCTGCCCTGTCTACTGTCCACTCTCTGGACATACTGTTTCATTTAATGTCTAATTTATCTCCAAGAGAACTAGTCCTGTTACAAGTGTATTTTTCAAGGTAACATTTTATGGATTTTTGCTTTATCATTATTATTTATTATTATTGCTAGAGATATTCAATCATTTTGGTATATTGGTCTACTAACTTATATCTGCTAACTTTTTTTTTGAGAGAGAGATTTTGGCTATAGTGTGCATACACTCGTCGGAGAGATGGGAAGAAACAGAGAATGGTGTATGCACTCATCAGAGAGAGATAGAGACAGAAAGTGAGAAACCATCCTCCTGAGGGGGATGGCCACACTGCAGTCTCTTCTCCTCCATTCTCCTCTCAGGATCTTGGGCACACACACATGTGCCCAGTGTGAGTTTAAGTTGCCTGTCCAGGACTTGAACCACGGTCAACTACATGGGAGTCCAGCAACATAACCATCACACCACCTGCTGGCCCCTATATGAACACATTTTAAGGTTGGCATAAATAGCTTTTAGAAAAGATTTTTTTTAATCATATAAATTGAATCTTTATGTATAATAAATATAATTTTTGGCTTACATATATGCTTTTTTTTTGAGTCATCCTGTTATTGCTTAACTTAGTCAGTAATGATTAATAAGAACTAAATTTAGTCATAAAAATACTTATCACAATATACTTACGCTACAGTAATGCAAGCTTCTCTAACCACCTGGGACCTAAGGTCCTTTGCTGAAAGTTTAAGTGCTCCATCCAACAAGCGTAAATGCTGGAAAAAGCAGTCATACTGTGCCGCTCCAGCAACGAGCAGCGATCGGATTTTCTTAAGCTGAAATAAAGAGACTAGTCATTATCGATGTTAACAGGTAGGCAGTGCAAACGAACAAATGCTACCTAAATAACACTATTTAAACAACATTTTTTTAAAAAGTGAAACATATTCATTATATTTATCTGACTATATTCAGATCTTTTAATAGCATTAAATATAGCTTATAAAGAAACATGCAAACAAAATGTTTTATTAAAAAATTAGATTTAGTTATATACACAACAGACAAGTGTAATGTATAAGTAGATAAGAACATTTTACATTATAAAGTTTTTTTTTAAGGGAAATTCTTGCTATAGTGTGCATGCCCTTGACAGAGAGACAAAGTGAGAAATCACCCCTCTCCCCACCCCAGGAAGGATAGCCATGCCACAATCCCTTCCCTTCCATTCTCCTTTTGAGATTTTGGCATGCACAAAACACATGATCTGTGTGAGTTTCAAGCAGCTGTGTCCAGGACTCAAATTGTGATTGGTTACATGGGAGTCCAGCACCCTAGCCACTAAGCTAACTGCTGGCCTCACATTTTAAAGTTTGAAGAAAGCCTTTATAACTGTGGAAAATTATATAGCAACATAAAATTCACCATTTTAATTACTTAAAAATATGTGATTAAGTGTCAATAAATACATTCACAATATGCAACTATTACTTATCTACTAAGGGAGCCCATTTTTTAAAGGGCCAATATTAGAAAATTTTGTTTGCCCATAAGCAAAGGTATGAAATCAAAATGACCAACCATCAACTTATTATCATGGCTGTAGTTAACAGCATTAGTTTGTGAAGCAAATGGGTTTCTCCCTATGTACGTATCTTTGGCATTACTTTGTTCAAATATATATTTATTTTAAAGGTTGCTTATTTATTTCTTCCATGAGCAAAAGAGACACGGAGTCGGTCAGAGAGCACTCCAACAGGGCCAACACTGCGATCCACCCCCGGCTTTCAGCTAGTCCCAGGTTATGGGCAAGTTTGTGCCTGGTACACCCAGGGAGGCCTCTGGGCCTTTGACCATGTGGGGGCTGCCTCTGAGGGCATCAGGTTTTACTGATACATCACTGCCAGGCCACCAGCATTACTCTTCACATTTGACTGCCATCATTTATACATAATAAAACGACTTCAGTCAGAAGAGATATGCCCAGCTGCCCATCTGTACTCATACTCACACACCACAAGTTTACTTAAAACCATTCTCATGTGGAGTTTCACATTTAAAGGGTTTCTGAATTTTAAGATATAGCTTTAGAATTAAGTTAGGTACTGGGTCGTCGGAGAAGTTATGATGTATTTTTCTACATTTCTACGTAAAAATGCATCATGACTTTCTTGACGACCCAATAGATTAAAGATGCAAATGTAAGAAAAGAAGAAAGAAAAACAACCCAGGGCCAGCAGAGGGCATAATGGTTATGTCACTGGAATCCCACATGGCCACCTGTGGTTCGAGTCTCAGACCTGGTGGCTTCAAGTTCACAATGGGTGCATGTGTGTGGCATGCCCCATATCCCGAGAGGAGAAAGAGGAGAAGGGATTGCAGCGTGGCCATCACCCTGGGGCTGACTTCTCGCTTTTTGTCTCTTTAGCTTTCTCTGTCTTTCCAGTGAGTGCATGTATCCCATAGCAAAAATCTCTCTTAAAACACACACACACACACACACACACACACACTATCGATATTAGGAAAAGAAAATGCAAAGAATAGTTACATAATCATGGGGTGTACATGGACAGAAAAACAATCATAAACAGGAGAGAATCTGCAGTGTCTAAGTAAGATGAACTAAAACAAAACACAAATCATAACATGGTGGGAAAGAAGCACCTACAACATCAAAGACAATACACACAGTGACAATAATACAAGAAAATGACCATCCGACATGACATTGGGCAAAATAAATATACAAAAATTACTAGTGACAAACAAATCCAAATTACAGAGACACACCAGAAAGAAAACAGATGCTCTTGAAAACTGCAAGCAAGATTACAAATAACTAACACTTTTGTTCAAAATATTTGGGGAGCATCTGCTAAAAAACTGCACCTACACTTTACACAATAGCCTACACTTTATAGATCTAGCCTAGAAAACTAAAAGCATCACTGTTAGTGATGTATACAAGGATGTTTATTGTAACAATGTTTAAATGGCAGAAAAACCCAAACCTGTTCATCTATCAAACACGAAACAGCTTCATAATGTCTACATATATATGTCTGAAACTAAGGAATATATGTACGTATTGATCGACATTTAGTAAGTACCTGAGCAACTATCATATATCTGACACTTACGTCAGATGTACCAAATAGGCATGATTTGTTAAGTCAAAAAACAAAAGCTAAGTTGCTAAGTAATTTATCTAGTATGATCTTGCTTGCTTTCATAAAGGGGACAGAGAGAAATATTTATTTTCTCATACATATTCAAATATATATATACGTAGAAAAGCTTATATTCTAAATGAAATGTTTGTTTCCTTAATGGTGAGAAAACTTAGCATTTTCTTTATAACCAATCCTCAGCACTGTTTCACTTACTACAGTCAGCTTATATTATTTTATAATAAAAATCTAACATTTAAAAAGAGCATCTTCCTGGGCCAGCTGGTGGCATGGTGATTAGGGTGGCTAGATTCCACAACTACAGGTGGCACATGTGCAGGCAGACCCAGAATCCTGAGAGGAGAATGGAGGAAAGGGAACTGCACTGTGGCCATCCCTTTGGGGGTACTTTCTCACCCTCCCCTTCTTCCCTCCCCCAAGTATACTGTACTATAGCAAATTAAAAAATAAAAAAAATCTATTCTTTCTTAAATGAGTGATTTCAAAGTAAAACAAAAAGCCCTCAAGTACAAAGTTGATGGATTACACTGACAACATTTAACTTGTCAAATTTCTCCACAGATACCCTTTGGCAAAGATTTTTCTATATTTGACTTGTCTCAGAACTCGAGGAAGAATATGAGCCATATTTAACAAATTTGAAAGAACATATTCTCTATTAATAACAGTATTTCAACATTTTAAAATATGCAGACTCCTTAATAAAGGGAAGATGAAAAAGGACTTTTTTTGTTCACATTGCCATAAAAGCCTGAATTGTCAAAGGCCACATTTGATTCAATGTATCGAGACGGAGATTTTCATGATCAGCCAGATTGGGAGCTCTCAGAACAGAAGGGCATCTTCAAATGCAATCCCTTCTCTGGCTTCTTAAGGACTCAGAGGTACTCTTTTGGTACATATAATTTGGTCATGTAAATTTAATAAATTCACAATCGTTAGAAAAAAATATACAGTCCACTGTTGATGCAGACATATTTTTTAAATCGAGTATTTTCTTCAGGAAGTTTAGGCTAAATAAAATATTCTTAGCTCAAGGATATCTGACCATTCTTAAAAAAAAAAATCATTGGTAAGAAACGCTCATCACATGAGAAAAGAAAAAATTAAACAATACTAATGAATATACTGCTGTAAATTTTTATCAATACTATGAAAACACTGGACACAGGGACCAGCAGTTAGCGTAATGGCTATGTCGCTGGACTCCCACCTAGTCGACCGCAGTTTGAGTCCCGGGCATCTGCTAAAAAACTGCACCTACACTTTACACAATAGCCTACACTTTATAGATCTAGCCTAGAAAACTAAAAGCATCACTGTTAGTGATGTATACAAGGATGTTTATTGTAACAATGTTTAAATGGCAGAAAAACCCAAACCTGTTCATCTATCAAACACGAAACAGCTTACTAATGTCTACATATATATGTCTGAAACTAAGGAATATATGTACGTATTGATCGACATTTAGTAAGTACCTGAGCAACTATCATATATCTGACACTTACGTCAGATGTACCAAATAGGCATGATTTGTTAAGTCAAAAAACAAAAGCTAAGTTGCTAAGTAATTTATCTAGTATGATCTTGCTTGCTTTCATAAAGGGGACAGAGAGAAATATTTATTTTCTCATACATATTCAAATATATATATACGTAGAAAAGCTTATATTCTAAATGAAATGTTTGTTTCCTTAATGGTGAGAAAACTTAGCATTTTCTTTATAACCAATCCTCAGCACTGTTTCACTTACTACAGTCAGCTTATATTATTTTATAATAAAAATCTAACATTTAAAAAGAGCATCTTCCTGGGCCAGCTGGTGGCATGGGGATTAGGGTGGCTAGATTCCACAACTACAGGTGGCACATGTGCAGGCAGACCCAGAATCCTGAGAGGAGAATGGAGGAAAGGGAACTGCACTGTGGCCATCCCTTTGGGGGTACTTTCTCACCCTCCCCTTCTTCCCTCCCCCAAGTATACTGTACTATAGCAAATTAAAAAATAAAAAAAATCTATTCTTTCTTAAATGAGTGATTTCAAAGTAAAACAAAAAGCCCTCAAGTACAAAGTTGATGGATTACACTGACAACATTTAACTTGTCAAATTTCTCCACAGATACCCTTTGGCAAAGATTTTTCTATATTTGACTTGTCTCAGAACTCGAGGAAGAATATGAGCCATATTTAACAAATTTGAAAGAACATATTCTCTATTAATAACAGTATTTCAACATTTTAAAATATGCAGACTCCTTAATAAAGGGAAGATGAAAAAGGACTTTTTTTGTTCACATTGCCATAAAAGCCTGAATTGTCAAAGGCCACATTTGATTCAATGTATCGAGACGGAGATTTTCATGATCAGCCAGATTGGGAGCTCTCAGAACAGAAGGGCATCTTCAAATGCAATCCCTTCTCTGGCTTCTTAAGGACTCAGAGGTACTCTTTTGGTACATATAATTTGGTCATGTAAATTTAATAAATTCACAATCGTTAGAAAAAAATATACAGTCCACTGTTGATGCAGACATATTTTTTAAATCGAGTATTTTCTTCAGGAAGTTTAGGCTAAATAAAATATTCTTAGCTCAAGGATATCTGACCATTCTTAAAAAAAAAAATCATTGGTAAGAAACGCTCATCACATGAGAAAAGAAAAAATTAAACAATACTAATGAATATACTGCTGTAAATTTTTATCAATACTATGAAAACACTGGACACAGGGACCAGCAGTTAGCGTAATGGCTATGTCGCTGGACTCCCACCTAGTCGACCGCAGTTTGAGTCCCGGACCTGGTGGCTTAAACTCACGCCGGGCGCGTGTGCGTGCGTGCCCAAGATCCCGAGAGGAGAATGGAGGAGAAGAGATTGTGGCATGGCCATCCCCCCTATAGGGTGATTTTCTGCTTTCTGTCTCTCTGTCTCTCTCTGTCTGGCAAGTGTACGTGCCCTATAGCAAAAAACCTCTCCAAAAAAAAAAAAAAAAAAAAAAAAAAAGAAAAAACACTGGGCACACAGGTTAAGTGAATTGCTTTGCTGGTAAACCTTATATGCCCTGAGGCCAGTGCTGATGAGCAACTGTGCATCTCTGCAGAGAAGCCAAGGCCCCCTGAAGCTTACACTTTCCTGATTGGACAACAAGTAAGACACATGTCCAGATGCTACCAAATGGCAGAAATAGACACCATCTATTGTCTATTGTCAAAATAACAAAAATTGACTCTAGGGGTCAGCAGGGGCTTAGTGGTTGAGGTACTGGATTCCTATGTGGCCAATCGCAGTTCAAGTCCTGAACCTGGAGATTTGAAATCCACACTGTGTGCATGTGTGCCCACGATCCCAGGAGGAGAATGTAGAAGAGATTGCAGTGTAGCCATCCCCACCCACCCCCAAGGGGGGTGATTTCTCACTTTCTGTCTCTTTGACTTGCACATGAGCTTTATAGTGAACCCCACTTCCCCCCCCCCAAAAAAAATTGTCAGAAAATGTCTATTATCTCAATGTGTTTTTCAGGCAGAAATGTTACCTATCAGACTTTATTTGATAACTGAATACCAGATATTCAATAGTACCACTACTGAATTTCCATACTATTACTGAATTTCCATGCTTTTGAAAAGGAAAACTAAAAAAAAAAAAAAAAAAAAGGATAAGAAAATAAAAAACTTACTGCATTGGCGCGCTGATCCCAGTCATGTTTGTCATCTGACAAAATTTCCCTGATTTTATTCAATGTTTCTTCAAGTTCTCGACTAGAATAGATCTTAAAGAAAAGATTCAGAATTATGACAGTATTTCTCACATAAACGATATCAAAATCATGTCCTGATGTTTAAAATAATCTTTTATGTAATAAGGTTATTCATCAGACTAGTACCAATTTTAATGGAGAATGGAAATGCAGAATAGAAAATAATAAAATGAAATGCTTTTTATTAGTCTTTCTTTTGCACTTATTACACCTTTTGCTATATCTCCCCTCATAAACAACTTTAAACGTCCTGTTAAAATCACTGTAATTTAAAACAAGATGCAAACATCCAAGAATAGGCCTAATTTCTCAAATATTATTATAAAGTATTTTCTTTATAGCCAATCCTCTGCACTGTTTCGCTTACTACAGTCAGCTTGTATTATTTTATAATAAAAATCTAACATTTAAAAAGAGAGCATCTATTCTTGGGCCAGCCGGTGGCATGGTGATTAGGGTGGCTAGATTCCACATCTACAGGTGGCTCAAGGCTAGGTATATGTTTTATTTCCTCTGGAGCCAATCATTTGCCGAACAGCTATACATGAGTATCCTTTCATTCATTTAACAGATATTCTTATAAGAGGGACCAGTTATGCTAGGCATGAGGAAGACTACAGTGATCAAAAAGTAGACATGGTCTTTGTTTTACGGAGCTTACAGGAAAACTAACAACTAATCAGCCTACAGCATGTGGGACGTGGTGACTTGAAAAACACACTCTGTATGTAGATGTGCACCGAAATCCTTAAAAGAGAAACTGAGGAGAAGGGATTGAGATGTGAGTAGGCCACACAGGAAATGCTTTCTCACCTTCCCTCTATCACTCTTTTTCAGTCTCCCTCTGGTGACTACATGTGTCCTCCAGCAAATTGGGGTGGGGGGGGGGAGGGCGGGAAGGAAGGAAGGAAGGAAGGAAGAAAAGAAGAAAGGGCCCAGAATGAACTCCCAATAAATTCAAATATTCAACAGCCAAATAAGAGAAAGATGCAAGATGCACCCATAAAGAAGACAGAGATGAAGTGGACAAAGAAGAAGGAAGGAAAAGACAGAAGAACGTTATATCAGAAACACCTAAAAAAAGATCCCAATGGAACAATAGATGTAGTCAACAGTATTAAACGCTGATAAAAGATTAAAAAAACAGTAAAACCTATTGATTTTGGTGTGATAATGATGATCAGTGATTTACGTAAGACCTATTTCAATGGAAGAACAAGTGAGAAAAGACTAGGATGAAATAACAGGAAAAGTTATGAAAATTAGCAAGTACAGACATTTCTTTTGGAAAGGCTGACTGTGAAGGTATCCACCACCACCAAAAGAAAATCTGGAGGATATGGGGTCCCATCAGAATTATTTTCTTTCTTCTAATTGAAGAACCTAGTCATGATTAACAGAACATTGGAAAGTTCCGAAAAAGAGTGAGCGCTTGAACCCACATAAAAGCACTGATTAAGAAATAGGTAATGGGGACCAGCAGATGAGGTAAAGGTTACATCGCTGGACTCTCACGTAGTCGACCACGGTTCAAGTCCTGGACCCAGTGGCTTCAAACTCATGTTGGGCACGCATGTGTATGTGTGCATGTGTGCCCAAAATCCCAAGAAGAGAATGGAGGAGAAGAGATTGTGGCATGGCCATCCCCCCAGGGGGGTGATTTCTGCCTTTCTGACTCTGTGTCTCTCTGTCTTTCTAGTGAGCGTGTGTACGCTATAGCAAAAACCTCAAGAAGGAGGAGGAGGGAGAAGGGGGGAAGGAGGATGAAGGGAGAAGGGGGAGCGGAGAGGGTACAGGTATCATGGTCATCACGTGATGAGGAGAGCTAGCGTAATAACCCTAAGGGCATGTGGGTGCCAAGAAAAAATCAGATTTTAAATAAACCAAGGATGTTGAAGGAATTCCCCCAAAATTAAAGACTGAAGGGAGTTGCTGCTTATGAAACAGAGGTTCTAGAGGGCACAATGGAAAGTACCAAACATCTGGAAGGTGGAGAGGCTGGGTGGGAGGTGGTGACAGGTCAGTTATAAGAAAGAAATAAGGAGCTGTGAAATAGCCTTTTCTCTTTCATACTGCCAAGTAGCCCTGGCAGCACTGACACTATGATGTGACCAGGCCGACAAGAAAATACTGAACAAAAAAAATGTTCAAGTCCAACTAAATTTTACTAATTTTTCCTATAATCCTTCCCTTACATGAATGACATGACAAATACAAAGTAGGAGAATATGTTTTCCCTATTATTTAAAAAGTAAATATCTTAAAATAAGAAAAAATATATTTCAATAAAGGCACAAAATACACACAAATAAGTTTTAAAAGTGTCCTCATAACCTTTTAAGATCCTAAATAGCTTAAGGACAAGTTTTCCTTTCAAAGAGCAAAAAAGTAATACAGAAAGTGGAAGGTAGCAATGTAAGATATTTTTAAACAGATATGCAAAGTACATTCAGCATTCAAACCCATTACACTGGAAAAAACATTCTGAGTGACATGAGTATTGGCAAGGATATCAAGAGGAAAGAACTATAATACTATAATACACTTTCTTATAGAAGTTTAAACTAGTACAACTAGTATAATTCCCTTACAGAGTTACATTTAACAAAGGTAAAGATAATAATCTACTTATATGTTTAAAACCTAAGGAAAAGCTTACAAATAATCAAGGACGTATGTATAAACGTCTTCACTGCAGCCAGATACGATACTGAAACGTTACACTCTGAATGTCAACAGATCAATGAACTATTATCTATTCAAACAACAGAAACCATCTATCAGTTCAAATGAACAAAACAGAATCACAAATTTTACATTTTGGAAAATTATAAAAAGCACTGAGTAAAAGAATATTATGTACAATATGAGTGTTTTTAAGAAATGGTAATAATACTCCTTTTTATGCATGTCTACTCTGTGTACTTCAATTACTTCTATGTGAATGACTTCCACATTTCTACTGTCAATGAATCTCAAACATTATCTGGACTTTAAACTCATTAATTCGAATATTGGAACCTTAAATTGGATATTGTAATGTAATTTGAGTCAACAATAACGATTAGACTTTATTTCAACCTTACCAAAAAACCTCTTGAAAATCTAACTGTGCCAACGAAGTATAGCTTGGTGATAACAAGTTAAATACTTCATTTATGTAGTTATTTAAGGAAAAAATTATTTAAAAGGGGGGGATAACTATATGAACAGACACACGAGCAATATTCATGGAGATTTGGCCTTACCTGAACAGAAGGGACATCTGTAAAAGCTTTTATAAAATCATCTTCATCAACTGCTCCAGCACCTCCTTCCTTAGAAGCACCTGCTAATTAAAGAAAATTAACTTTATAAGGTTCATTTTTAAGCATTTTAGCACTACGGACAACATGAAAAACAAAATCTTTTAATATCAACAAAGGAAAAATTCTGAAGCATATTCCATTTTCTATGAAAGCACTGAAAAAGTCTCAGAAAAGTAAAAGAACTTAGCAGCGGTTGATTAACTCTATGTAAGGTACTAGACTGATAGTAAAATTGAAACTAATAGAGGTACCCAACTCTCACTTGCATGCAATGCATTATCTAAGACAGACACAAATGAGAATATTTTAAAAACTGGATTCAACCTAAAAGACACCAAATGTCAGTAAATGATGGCAAAGAAGTGATGTAGAGGATGTATTAATTACTAACATATGCTCCCATGGTCAGGAGAGCATGTGTGAGAGAAATGGGGGTTGTGAAATGAAATTTAATATTGCAAAGAAATCTTCCCTAATTGCCCATACAAAACTAGAATAAACTTAAAGGGTAGTAGTTATTTCAGGGCTAGTAATTAAGCTATTGCATTTCGGCTCCAAATCTATTCCCAATGTTGGACCTACAGCTGCTGTGGCACAGTGGTCACGAATGTGACCTGCAGAGCTGGAAGCCATATGGTCAAGTGCAGGTGCAAACCCCCAGGTCTGTTTGGAAACACGCCGGGGGGGCACAGCGAGCACCCAGGATCCAGAAGAGCTACAGTGCTATGGAAAGGGGACTATGCCGTGACTCTGTTGAGGGTCTCTCTCTTTCATATGTGCACATGCTCTCTATCACTAGGAAGGAAGGGAAGGAAGGAAAGGAGGGAGGGCGGAAGGGCATGCTGGGACTAGTGTTTACTAAACCATTTTTTCCCGTTGATTCTAACACTTTCCTATTCAGCTCTGGCAATACAGGGTATACAGAGAATGACTGGAAACTGAAGGAAGAAGGGATCTGCTCTTTCCTGGTAGCTTCCTGTTCGGGACAGTAAAACCCCTAGCAACACTGGGAAACTCCTTGTCTGAGGACCAGCAGCTGATTCCAGTCTGCAGCTCTTCTAATGCTAACTAAATCAGCTCCTGATTCCCATGGGGAAATGGTCAGCATCCAGACTCAAAGCAAATGTTCAAATAATTACTTCAAACCCAGGAAGCAAAAAAAAAAGAAAATTACCCACTTCAAACTTCAACTGACAAGTGAACTGAATAAATATAAACACCCAAGACCAGCAATGCCAACTATAGGGCCCTGAGTGGAGAGAAAAATCAGAGGAGATTATATGCAAGAGGAAGAACCTAGTATTTGTATACCAAAGACATCAACTCAGATTTTCTCCAAGCCCAGAGTAAAGTGGCTTTTTGAAGGGGGATGGTGAAGTCTTCTTGAATCTTACTGGACAGGACTGCACTGAAACAAGATGGTAATCAAAAACCAGAAGTAGAAAGCCCCCTGTATTACGCAGAACAAACCTGCACCTCACTATGCCAACAGAAGAAGGTGTTCTCAAACTAAGAAGCCAAGCAAACCTTTCATTCCAGACCCATAGATCTCTTATTTATGGTCCAAAAAAATTAGTCCAAATACATCTTCTTAAACAAAATACATAGCTAACCTCTACACTAGGCGACAATAAGAAGAAAAAATAAGAATGAGAAGATTTTATACAGATCTAAGTACCCACCCCCCCAAAATAATAAAAGCACACAACCAGTTAACAAGTAGGAAAAAAAACTATAATGTAATATCTAACATGAATTAAATAAAATTAAACACCAATAATAGGTATGAAAAGACAGATAAATCAGAATGCCACAAACTCTGAGCAGATATGGACGACATGAAGACAGTTAGCCAAAGTCAGGAAATTATTTTTTTTCCAGAAGATAAAAATCATCTGAGAAATAAATAATAAATGACCAACTATGCAACTACAGTTTTGAATAAGTAAAACTACAGAAAATATTAAGACACTTGAGGAAATGTGAATACAGGAATTAAGTTCTGAAAAGGAGGCAAGCATATAGATTAATAATGAATTTACCTGGCCCAAACACTGTGCAAAGCAGTGCACTATTCAGACACTGCTCTACAAGCTGGGAGCACATGAAAGTTTTAATTCCTAGTATAATCTACAGGCTAGGAGTGGTGGTATGTACCTGCAATCCCAGCTACTCAGGGAGGCTGAGACTGGAGGACTTGGGAGTTCAACGTTAGGAGCTCGAGGTTGATCTGGGTAAAACAGGGAGACCCTGTCTAGAGAAGAAAAAAAATAAAGAGCCAGGGGGGGTGGTGCATACCTATGAGCTTGGGAGTTTGAAGCAGGAAGATTACAACAGGGTTGACAGACATAGTTAGACCCTATCCTTAGGGAGAAAAAACGGAATAAATGTACAGAAAATAAAAGGGCTAAAGGAACAAGCTCAATAATATCACAAAGACAATAGAAAACTCCAAACCATGGGATAATCTAAAAACACAACTGGCCTAGACTGTTTAAAAAGTCAATGCCATGGAGATAAAAATCGGTAAGGGGACTGAGTTGGATAATATTTTTAAATGTCCTTTTTGTCAGAGATTTTTGCTGTAGGGTGTGTGTGCTCGCCAGAGAGAGACGGACAGAAAGTGATAAATCACCCCCCAGGAGGGATGGCCACTCTGTGATCCCTTCTCCTCCATTCTCCTCTTGGGATTTTGGACACTCACACCACACGTGCCCTGCAGGAGTTTTAAGCCTCCAGTCTGGAACTCTCCATTACCTGGGAGTCCAGTGTTGTAATTATTATACCATCTCCTGGCCTCAGTATTTTTAAATTTTCTCACATATGGTAATGGGATAGTTACAGTGGGGTAAGACTTTTTCTTTGGTAGAGGTTTTTTGGCCTTAGGGCACATACACTTAGGAGGAAGTGGAGGCAAAGTGAGAAATCAAGCCCCAGGGAGGATGGCCACACCACAATCCTTTCTCCTCCATTCTCTTGCTAGGATCTTGGGCATGCACAAACACGTGGCCAGTGTGAGTTTCAAGCCACCAGGTCCAGGACTTGAACTGTGGTCAGTCATGGAGGAAACCAGTGACATAATCATTTTTAATACCAAGGAGATGCACATTAAATATTGAGAAGTAAAATGTCATGTCTACAATTCACTTTCCAACAGCTGAGATTTAAAAAAACAGTATCGGGACCAGCAGTTAGCATAATGGCTATGTCGCTGGACTCCCCTGTAGTCGACCGCGGTTCGTGTCCTGGACCCGGAGGCTTAACACTCACGCCGGGTGCGTGTGCATGCGTGCCCAAGATCCCGAGAGGAGAATGGAGGAGAAGGGATTGCGGTGTGACCATTCCCCCAGGGGGTGATTTCTCGCTTTCTGTCTCTAGGTCTCTCTCTATCTGTCTGGTGAGCGCACACGCCCTATAGCGAAAACCTCTCCAAAAAAAAAAAAAAAAATAGTATGTGGGTCAGCTGGTGCCATTTTGGTTAGGGCACCTAGATCCCACATGGCTGACTTTGTGGTTCAAGTCTCCCAGACCTGACAACCTGAGAAACACGCCGGGCATGTGTACATGCATGTCTAAAATCCCAAGAGGAGAATGGAGAAGGGATTGTGGCATGGTCATCCCACTTTGATAATAATATGTGTAAAAGTATATCAAACAAATCTGGGAAATGGCTGGTTATAAAATAAAGGTGTGAAGTGGTCACTGTATGTCGACTTTGCTGTAAAATAAAAAATTTTTATAATAAAAAATATGGAAAACCACTCATTATAAAGTTAGAGCAGATACAAACAGATCAAGAAAAAGGGGAGAAATTCTATAAATAGACCAAAATACACTGAGTAAATAATATGTAAAGATTGTTTTATATAACTGCATAAACTGGTCATGCAAAAGGAAGAAAAAAAATGGATATATGTTATCCTATACAAAAAATAAACTGTAGATATACTGTATAAACTAAATGTAAAATCATTAATGTTTTAGGAAAAATGAGTCATTTTATAATCTTGGGACTGACTGGAGAAAAGTCTTTCTAATTCAAGGCAGCAATTTTGAAAGTCAGAAAGTGAACAGATAATTTACCTACCACAATGAAAAATTTAAAAATTTGATGCAGAAATGCCATTGTCAAAATAACAGACTAAGTATTTATAATTTTTTTTTTCAGTTTTTTTTTGCTATAAGGTTTGTGCCAAACAGACAGAAAACAAAAAATCATCCTCCAGGGGTCATGGCCACCCTGCAATTCCTTCTCCTCCAATCTCCTCTTGTTATTTTGAGCATGCATGCATATGTGCCCGGTGTGTTTCAAGCTGCTAGCTCCGGGACTCAAACTGTGTTGATCGTGTGGGAGACCAGATCCATAACCACTACACATCTTGTTGGCCCAAGCATTTGTAACTTTTAACAGAAGAACAAAAGTCTCAATATTTTTAAAAATACAAATAAACTGATGAGAAGACAAACAATGGACTTGACAGAGGATACATTAATTCCTGTTAATGGATTTAAGTATTATGACACTCAGTAGAATGTAAACTCTATAAAGACAAAGTCTTTTGTTTGTGTCCACTGACATTTCCCAGAGGTTCTAAAAGTAGCAACACACTAAGATAGATGAATGGGTGGAAAAATGCAAAGTCAAAGAAAGAAGCACCACTGGGACCAGAAGGTGGAGTAATGGTTACACTGCTAGACTCCCACACAGGCGACTGCAGTGTGAGTCCCAGACCCAGCAGCTTAAAACTCACACTGGGCGTGCGCACTTGCCCAAAGTCAATTTCCAAGAGGAGAATGGAGAAGGGATTGTGGTGTGGCCATCCCCTCTGGGGGATGATTTCTTGCTTTCTGTCTCTCTGGCAAGTATATACACCCTATAGCAAAAATTCTCTCTTCAAAAAGAAAGGAGCAACATCAAAATAGTAATTAATAAGGCTGTTATATTCAATGCTGGAGAATATAATGTTTTATTAAAATTAAAAACATACAATCTTTGATTAGGTAATCTCATTTATAGGAATGT